GGGGGGGGGGGGATTGGTTTACAACATCTCAATATCAGATCGATCAAATTATAAAGTTGCCTGGTCACTCATGAGTCGCCTTCAACATTCCTTGGAAAACTAGCACCTCACTTGTGACGCCTTGGGGAAGTTCTATCGGTTAACATGTACCCGTAACCCGCAAGGGTCTGTTGGGCCCACTACTCTCTGGATGCGTTAAAGAATCCATGAATTAGTCTCGCAAGAGGCGACATCATGAGGAATGGACATAACAGAATCAGCAAAAAGTTAGTTTCATACATATTTCATTGCAACATGAACTTTGCCCCTGTTTACGCTCTATAAGAATTAAAAGTACAATCAGATGGCAAAAGATACGAAGAGGGTTGTATGTGTTTTGAGAGGGCGCTTTCAGGGTTCAACGACATGCCAATTGACCGACCGACCCACGGCGTTGCTGGCCACGTGTTGGCAAGGCCGTCAGTTGGACGGTCGGCCTATCGTCGAATTCTGAAAGCGCCCAGACAAATCCATAAAAGATGCCTTGTGACATGTAATTTTTGCAGATGAATTCTTGCTTTGCTTGCTCCTTGTAATGGCCAAAAATCCGGGTTCTCCCGGTGCAAGACTATCATTTCTGACATTTTCAACCAACCATCACATATTCCGGAAGCCGGTCACCCGTTCACTTGCTCTCTCGTGAAGTTGTTGTGGAGCTCACAAAGCATCCTCATGTGTTGAATAGGATTACCCGGTTGCCCAGGGCTTCGATTACCACTTCAGCCTTGATGGTATCGAAGGCCTTTTTCGTGTCGATGAACGTCAGACATAATGGCATCGTGTGCTCTCGAGAAATTTTAATGTGTAGGTGTGTGTGGATATGTTCGATCGTACTGAAGCCTCTCCTATACGGGACACTACGGAAGGTGAGAATGACATATGTGAGGAGTTTAGAAGTTCTAGGCAGTAGCAGATTGGACGATGTTGCCAATATCATCGGGATCTCCCTTCTTATACAGCAACACAATCTGCTAGTTTTACACGACGTGGGCACTTTGCTTTCCGATAGGTACCACGTGAAGAGCCTAGCCAGAATTTCGACGATCAGTGGTGGAAGACTCTTCAGATGTTCTGGTTTGATCCTATCGGGACTGGGCTCCGTACAGTTCTTCATCGGCGTGGGCATGTTGGATTTCGAAGAGGAGGACCGAAGGAGCGATATATTCGTCTTGCCTGAGATGGTGAGTAGGCAGGTTGACGTGGCTGTCGAAGAGATCAGAGTAGAAATCGTAGAAGACCTTCTCCATTGCCCTGAGAGATGCGATAACTGCTCCGACTATATCAAACTGTTGGCAGTTAGAACTTAGTTGTGTGAT